TGCCAGCAAAAGGGTAGATTACTCCTCCAAGTATAGCTCCATAGGATGTGCTGTGAGGCGGCTAGGTGTAGTTGGGTCCGCAGTCAAGCAGACAAGTTCAAATCCCACCACAGACACTTATTAGCTGTGACCCTGGGCAGGTCATTTAACCTTTGCTGGCCTCAGTTTCTCTAATTGTAAAATGGAAATAATAATAATAGATCAAATGAGATATTATTTATAAGAAAAATGTTTAATCCAGGTCCTGGAATATAGTAGGTATTATGTGTAAATGATTATTCCCTTCCCTCCTATCAAAGCTTCATATATATATCATATATATATCGTATATATATCATATATATAAAAGCTGCATATATGTATGTGTATATATATATAATATATACATTTATTTGTTTCTCCAGAGAAAATAGGCACATGTGCATACATAAATTTATGCCTATATGCCCATGTGTGTATATACACATGTATGTGTGCATATACACACATATACACAATACATACATGTGTACATGTGTGTTGTCTGTATATATACAGTCTGAGGTTCCCAAAGCTTTACCTTTAGTGTCTTAAAGACAAGGTCCTAAGGGACAGGAGCTTCTCTGTAAACTGATTCATGGTCCTATTTAGGATCCACTTCTCAGGGTAATGTTTATTAAGTGGGTATATCAGTTTCCAATTGTGAGCCCCCAGAATATGTTCTATTAGTCAAGAGAAACTATAGCAAGAGCATGCATGTGGGGCTCACCATAAATACAGATATATAAAACTATATCTTGATCCATATGTAGTCTCTCTTGAGCAGCAGAGCATGCTTCTAGGGTGCCCAGACAATTCAAAATACGGCTACCCATTTCAAACCTTACCTGAGAAGTAGATCGTAAATACAGCCATGAATCAGTTTACAGGGAAGTTCCCGAAGATCTTTAATATCCCCTCCTTGTAACCTTGCCCTTAAAGATAAAACTGTGGACACCTTAAACCCAATGGAATAATTGAATTTAAAGTGAGAACCATAAAAATCTGGAGAACTTGAAACTAGTTTCACCCACATTCCATTTTTTTTTGTGAGGATGATTTTCAGTGGGCCTTGTATTGTGTATACTGTTTAAGATTTCTTTGTACCTAGATCTAATTTTCAAGCAGTCCCATTACATTTAATCAAATTAATCCTATTAGAGACATTTGCTCCTTGCTAGATATCCCTGAGCAAGGCTCCTCACAAATGTATTACTCATACTTTGTATCCCTTGTGGTCTGTACCTGTGACTTCATTAGTAAATGGAAACTTCCAGTGAGAAGACTCCTTTTACCAAGCAGATCAACACTATCTCCGCAACTTACAATCTTGGAGTTAGTTTCCCGCAAAGCCTATGTGACTTGTTTCGGATCACAATAAGGCAATTTGTGTCAGAGGTAGGACTTGAACCCAGGTCTTTCTTGCCTCCAAGGCTGGCTCTTTATCTGCTACACCATATTTTCTTTTAATGGGCAAAATATACAGCCACACGCTCATACAGAAGGAAGGTTCCCAGCCAAGACCTCTTTCTTTTTTTTTTTTTGGTTAGGCAATGGGGTTAAGTGACTTGCCCAGGGTCACACAGCTAGTAAGTGTTATGTGTCTGAGGCTGCATTTGAACTCAGGTCCTCCTGAATCCAGGGCCAGTGCTCTATCCACTACGCCACCTAGATGCCTCCCAAGATTTCTTTCATTTGGAATAAATCTCTTTCCATATCATATAATTTCATTGGGATACACAGGTACTCTAGAACTCAGGTCAGCAAACAAAAGTCTTGATGAGCCTTCTTTCAGAAGAGAAAGGCATCAAGCTTTACAGGGTGCAATCTGGCTGATCAATCTATTTGCTTGTGAAACTAGACTCAGTTATAGTTCCCTGCCACACCCCCTCAAACCCCTCATCTGTTCTTACTGATCCTATTTTTTTTAACAGTTCAAGGCTATTCTTCTTCTAATTATATTCTATTATATATAATTATTATATCATTTTATTATATTTTATTATATAATGTATATTGTTATATATTATATTAGTATTTCTATTTATAGAAAAGTAAAGGAACCAGCCCTCCACCCCCACTTTTATTTTTAACTTGTCCTCCTTCATTTTCTTATTGAAAAATACACAATATAGATTTTCTTTCTCTCTGATGCTGCATAGCTCTTTAGACTATGTCTTGGAAGAGGTTGGCCTCCTCATTCCTGACACAGAAAAGAAAGCTATCCAGTAGCAGGAAATAAATCCATGTCTGATACACAAATGATGATCAAGCCACACCAGCCGTTGTTCAGCCAGGAGTTGACCAATGCTATTTTCCCTCGGTTTTTCAAAACATGAGCAAGCCCCAGGCAACAGACACAAAAGACTTCAGCAGCTAATAATCAACATAAAATACTCCACATTTACAGCCATTCCCAAGGGACCTTGTTTCCAGGTATCCTAATGTGTTTCTGGAAAAAGCAGATTGAGTGAGGGTGACACAGAGAAGCTGAGAGCTTCAACCCTATTCGAACTGGGAACCAGACACTGAAGAGCTTCGAATACAGTAAAGACTCTTGAGTTCTTTATGATGTGGGGTATTTATGAAGAGGGGCATTAAAAGATTTTTATTGAATGTAACATTAATGAGGAGCATCTGTTTCCCACTTGCACAGCAAAATGGGCCACTCAGTCTAGCAGCTTGGGAGACAAGGTCTCCACTGTTCCTGGATAGCCACCATCTCCCACATCTTCATATGGATTTTATTTTATGATGATGTATGACTTCTGCCGGATATAGGTAATTATCCCAAAATTGCATAAAATGCAGACTATAAAAAGAGAAAAACATGCTGAAAAATTACTAAGGTCAGGGCCAAACCTATTAGCAGCTGAAAGCAGTCAAATAACTGTCATGTGCCCCCCTAGTTGGGATGGGGGAACCAAGGTAGCTTGCTATTTCCTCCTGATTTGACGGGGCAAGGAATTACTTGCTCAGGAACCTGAATATCTCTATGGAAGAGAGTCAGTGTGAAAAGTCATTTCTGTCATGCAGCTGCCTCACATCTTCCACTTAGGATCTCTTAAGGATGGGTAAGGGACACACATGTGTGGTAGAAAGCTAGGTTGAGGTTAAATTATGATTTAAATATAAAAAAGATTACATGAATCTTTCTAACTATATGCAATCAAATGTGAGAATGTAGCTGAAGTTATGGGGTTATGTGGCATAGTGAAAACTCAAGAGCAATTGAAGCCCACCCAGTGCCTGGGCAGATAGTAGGCATTTAATAAATGTCTACTGACTGATTGACTCCGAAGCATATAATAGCACAATGATAAATCCAAAAATTCTAATCACTGGGGGAATTATTGGAGAAAAGCTGCTGAGGAAACTTGAGAGCAGATTAGAAGTTGGGTTTAGATCAATACCTCATATCAAATACTACAATAAGCTCCAAATGTATACACAACTGGAAAAAAAAGCAGGTATGAGCAAATGTTTCTAGCATTTTAAGGGTTAACTTATGGTAAAAGGTCCATAATGTTATACTTGACAAAGCTGAGGAGAAAGGAATAAGCCTTTATATTACACCTACTATGCGCATATTATCTAGTTCGAGCCTCACAATAGCCCTAGGAGGTAGGTGTTTTTATTATCCCCATTTTACTGACCTGGAATCTTAGACAAACAGAGGTTAAGTGACTTGCCCGGAGGCACACATCTAGTAAGTGTCCCAGGTGGAATTTGACCTCAGGTCTTCCTATGCTCACACTTAGTGGGTTTTGGACATAGTAAGAATAGTAATAACAAGAGGAGGAATGAGAAAGGGAACTTACTGTCAGCACCTACTTTAAGTTGGAAAGCCAAACACCTTGGTGATCCTTTCCCTCCCCCACACACACATACACTCTCAAGGCCCAAGAAATCATGTGAAGGCAGCCATACCTGAAATGCAAGGGCCTTCCTGGCAAAGAAGATTAGAGCTATCAGGAATGAGCAAAGAAAGGGATGAATTGTGCCTTTTCTCCTATTAATGCCCCTACTTTTATTCCTTTGAAATTTAGAAGGTCAGAAAGGACTAAGGACTAATGGAGTCCTGTTCCAAGTTTTCTAGAATGGGTGGAAAGTTGCCATTTTAATTATGTTACTTGTTGTTGTTATTATTCATCCTTCTTTCTGGAAGAGGACTGATAACATCAGAGGTGATGTCTTGACTTGCCCATGAATTGGATTTACGTGAGGCAGAGCTGCACAAATTTGTCAGTCTTACTCTATCCTCCAGATTCACACATGTTGGGGCATTCCCGATGTTGACTGGGAACCAGCACCTGAGAGATGGATGGCTTGAGGGCCACCCAGCCAACATGATGGACATTAGGAATGAAAATAAACATACAACTGGTCAGCACAAAGCAGTGCAGATATGTATGTTTTCATTCTGAACTCAGTGCCATCACAGCAGGCTCATGCAACTCAATTTATAGCTATTGTGAGACAGAAATTTTTCTTTGAGATGTCATCTGTCAACCTCCAGAGTGATTCTATTTATAGGTCTATTCCAGGAACAGTAGAAAAAGACCTCCTGGGCAATTGAGCCAACCTATATGGCCTCAGCTATCACTAGGAAAACTCAAACCACTGGTGAACAGCATTCCAAGCCAATGATAGGGACTAGCTTCCTGGTGGGTTGTTTTTCCATTCAGTCTATCTCAGAGGCCTGACAAATTTCATCTTGTTTGTGCAGTAAAGCCCTCTCTAGTAATCAGGGAAGTAATTAAGCTGCTGCTGAGATCCTGCTCCTTAGCTGCTGTCATACAAAGGCAATAATCACACTTGTGAATGAAGGGCCCTTCGCTTTCCCCTCTAGCAAAATTATCTGTTATTATCATTAGATTTTATTCCTTTTCTATCCACATCACGGTCATCAATGGCTTATCCCACAGTAGGACCCAATCACAATGCCCACTTTCTAGAAAGCACTGATAAGCATTCCTCACCTTTTCATCGGCTTGGGTGAGCACTCTTTCTCTAGGTTAGAGGACGTGTGTTTCACGTGCATTGCATTATAGGAAGTGTGAGTATAATCATTTTCATCACTGTAGTCAGGACCGAGTAATGTCCGAGCCCAAGTTCCCATGTCATAGGGAGGGAGAGTCCCTCCAAATTCAGAGGGCAGGAATTCAGGGTGTATTAGTTGGTGAAGGCTGTTCAAATTGTTGCCATGGAGAAAGATCTAGAGGGAAAAACATAATAATAGAAAAAACCCTGAAACCCACAGCTGAAAAACAATCAACATGCATATATTAAGAGTCTACAACGCATTTCACAAAATAAAATTAAGTTGCTTGAGGGGGGAAAAAAGTCTTTGTACTAGACACTGCATTAAACATAAGAATACAAAGACAAAAAATAATAATCCTACTCTCAGGCAGATTATGTTTAATAGGGGCGTAGCCAAGATACAGCACATACAAAGCAAAAGTAATATAAATTGAGTGGAGGGCAGGTGGCAATTGGGAGGGCAGACTAGGAAAGATGTCCTGCAGAAGGTGAGGCTTAAGCTGACTCACCAAGGAAACCACGGATTCTAAGAAGTAGAGGTGAGAAGAGAAAGCATTCATTCCAAAAATAGGGGCCAGCCCGTGGAGAGACATGGTGATACAGGGTGGAACATCATGATGTACAGAACAGAATTTCAATTACGAGGGACGGGAGAGGCTGCCTAGTCTGGGAACAAGAATCCCTCCTACAAAATACCTGAAAAGTAACCATCCAAACTTTGCTTTGACGACCTGGGAGGGAAAAACCCACTACCTTCTTACGCAACTCATTTTACTTTGGGGCAGCACTAAGTATTAGGATGGTGTCCACAGATTCCTTATATCAAAGCCGGAATATGTTTTCCTATCAGTATTACCCAGAGCTCTTCGTCCTTCCTTCTGGGACCGAGAAGAACAAGTATAATCTTCTCCTTCTGTATGATAGTCCTTCAGGCACTTGAATACACTTCTCAGGCTCCCCTGAGGACTCTCTTTTCCACTTTTAGTTTGTATAATCAATCGTCCTTGTGAACAGAAGTCGACTCCTATTCATTCCACCAACAGCTGCCTTCCAGGATATAGTTTGGGAATGACATTAGATACATGACTGATGTAAGTGTGTCTGAAGAAAAAAAGTGTTTGTATTTGTGTTTCAGAATAATAAAAATATGTATCTGTTGCTTAGGAAAGGGAATAGGGTACTAGTCCTAAAAAATGACAGATCTGGTATTATTGGATTTGAAACAGTTTTATATATGAACAATTGCTGATTATCTGAATCAGTGGGAGAATAGAGTGATGCAGATAAACTAGACCAACAGATAATCCAACAGTCCTGTATATACCACCTCTGCAGCTTCCTTTTGTCTCTCCCACAATGGTAATGCCCCTTCCCTACTTCTGTTCCCCCTCTCAATACCTAATTAACTTATTCCCATCCTATAAGACCTACCTCCATCTTTCTACTCTGAGTTTTTTCACTGGCTGTCCCCCATTGCAGGATTGCTCTCCCTCCTCTTCTCTATCTTCTAGCTTCTTTCAAGTCCTAGCTACAGGAAGCCTTTTCCAATCCCTCTTGATTCTAGTGCCTTCCCTTTGTTCATTATTTCCAGTTTGTCCTGTATATCTCTTGTTTGTTCATAATTTCTTGCACATTGTCTTCCCCATTAGACTGTGAACTCCCTGAGAACAGGAACTGGTTTTTTCCTTTCCGTGTATTCCCAACACTTAGCACAGTGTCTGGCACATGATAGTTGCTTAATAAATATTTATTGACTGACTGGAGGCTTTGTCACTCACTCCATCCCATAAAGATCATAGGATCACAGATTTAGAACTCTAAGGAATCTTTCAGATAATTTAGTCCAATCCTCCCATTTATCAACGGGAAACTGAATTCTAAAGAGGTTTAGCCATTTTGTGTAAGGCTAGCCTGGTAGTGACAGAAGTCAGATTTGCACTTCTTTCTTTCACTTGCACAATGCCCTTTCTCTGAATTCTAATAGTACTTAGAGCACATACCACAAAATTTAGCTATTCATTATATTCAATCTTTCATTATTTTCCAACTGAATGCCCTGTGTCCTCTGGGCAGTTAGGTGGCAAAGCTGTATAGAATGCTGAGCCTGGAGTCAGGAAGACTCATCCTCCTGAGTTCAAACCTAGCCTCAGACACTTACTGTGACCCTGAGCAAGTCACTAAACCCTGTTTACCTCAGTTTCCTCAACTGTAAAATGAGCTGGAGAAGGAAATGGCAAACTACTCCACTATCTTTCCCAAGAAAACCTCAAATGGGGCATGAAAAGTTGGACACTACTGAAAAACAACAGAACCGTCCTCTGTTGAAACTATAATCCTCTTGAAGACAGACATCTTGTCTTATCCTGCTTTCCTAGAACTAATAGTCTGGCATGGCACTTGGCATGCAGGTGGAATTCAACCAATAAATGCAGATTCAATTTAAATATTTAGTTTGGTAATTCCTGATTTTTTTTAATCAGGCTATTTATTTTCCTAATTATCTTTTGGGGGGCTAATACTAAAATTAGTTTATTTTTCCTGAGAACACATTGACTGATATTGTTAGAGCTGGGTGAAGGTGGAAGTCAGCCTGAGATTAAGAATCTTTGTGGATAGTCCACAGAATAGATAATCCACATGTATTTGTAGTTTAAAATTAGGAGACTCTCTAGGTATGTGGGAAAAAGAATTAGGCCTACTCACATCAGAACCTATATACTAACATAGATTCCTCTTCGCTCCTTTACCTCCTATTACCCAAATATACATGATATTCCTAACCTCTGCCACTTGGCTTTCCTGGCTTCCCTCAAGACTCAAAATCCTACTTTCTGCAAGAGACCTTTCCTGGTTCCCCTCATGTCTGGTGCTTCTGCACTAGCCTTCTAATTGATCTCTCTACCTCATCTGTCCCTATTCTAACCCATCTTCTACATAATCCAACCTTTATATAACTACCAAAGAGACTTCCCCAAAGTGTAAGTCTGACCCCCTGCGAACTCCAGTGGCTCCCTATTACCTCTAGGATCAACTCTAAACTCCTTTGGGATACAAAACTATTTTCAACCTGACCCCTGCATACTTTTCCAGCCTTCTTTCCCCCCAACCCTATAGATATACTCATCGTTCCTTGCCAAGGATTCTCTGTCTCTTGTCTCCATGCATTTGCACTGAGCTAACCCCCATGTTTAGCATGCTCCCCTTCCTCTCCTTTACCTTGTTGAATCCCTGATTTCCTTCAAGACTCAGCTCAAATGCAAACTTCTGTAGGAAACCTTTCCTGGTTCCCTCAGCGGTTAGTGCCTTCTTCCAAAGTATATTCCCTCTACTCTATTTATACTGGATATGTCTATTTGTATACATGTAAGCTCATTGATGGTGGGGACTAAGTCATTTTGTGTTGATGGTGGGAATGCTTCATTTTGCGTCTTGTATCTCAGGGCCTTATGCAGTGCCTGACACATAATATATTGGTCCTTAATAGATGCTTGTTGATTGCTAGAGCTCTGTCCTTAGAGTCAAGAGGACCTGGGTTCAAATCCTGCCTCTGATAAATACCAGTTGTGTGATCCTGGGCAATTTACTTGACCTCTTAGGAACCCAACAACTCTCTAATAGTACAAGTTACAGATGAGTCAGCCAATCCATTCACATCTGCATCCTCCGGAGGAAGTTTTCACATCAGAAGTTCCCCCCACCATTGAAATCATAGCTCTGGGCCAAAGAAATAAATAATTAACTTCCCCCCTGTAGAAAATGTGGTTGGGGATGTTGCTTCTGCATTAACTCATCAGGGTGTGGATGCTTATGTGACAGCACATTAAAGAGCATTAAAATCAGTTTAAACTGGGTTTGAGGTATGTGAGAAATAGCTAGTTTTCATTTCCACAAAAGTCACCGAAACCTAAAATGCAGTCTAAGGGTTAGCTGGAAGTTGAACAAAGGAAGCCATAAATCAGAATAAGAAAACTCTACTGGTAGGTGAATAGACTAACCAATTCTGAGGTTAGGTATAGATTAACATCAAAAGGAATGTTCCCAAATAAGAGTAAAAGTGGATGCAGGCCCGGGTCCTCAAATTGTGGGGAGATGTAATTAAGGCCAGAGACTCACATGGTGAAATTAGGCGCTTTGGATAGGTTGTAACCTTTAGGTTGTAACCCCAACCAATGGGGAAACAGGGGAGGGAAATCTGAATTGGAAACAGGGAATAAAAAGGTGTGTATCTGTCTGACACATGTGTTCTGACACGTGGGATGCCCGGCCTTCTCAGGCTGTTCATAAAGTTTTTTCCTGGGTTCAAACAATGGCTTTGTTGAATTCATGGTAAGACTTTTTGCTGCTACTACCCCCATAGAATTTGTATATGAATCAAACAGTGATGGACTTGAAACATATACTAGGAGAAGTAGAAACTAAGAGCACAGGAGGGAACCATTTGTAAACATCCCTTGGGGTGCTAGCAAATTTACAGGACAAAACGGGAACTCTTAAAATACTCCATGATTAGGAAACTGTTTGGCCCCATTCTCTCACAAGCCATTATAGGAAAATAAGCATCTGCTCCTCACAGGCCATCAACGTTTCCCCAGTTTGTGTCTGGGGCTCTGAAAACAACCCAGCTCTGCTGAATTATTGATTAAATCCAGGCCATTTGCAAACTCCAGCTGAGGCTCTAACACGCAGTGGCTACACAAAAATACCCATCCCACAGAGCAATAAAAAAACAGGGCTGGAGAGACCACAGCAAAGAGAAGACATTACAGAAGTCACTCCAAATTTCCTGCTTCTCTGAAGACATATATCTAAAGACATACACATTGACATGGTTCTTTAATTACCCGTTTCCTTGTCTTGTCTTTGAGGAATGGTTTTATTAGTGTGTACAGGGCATGAATGTACCAGGGCTGATTGACAAAATGGACTCCTCCAAAGCGAGCAGGAAAACTGTCCTGTAGTGAAGAAAGAAATGGAGACCAATTAACAAGCACACCAGGGTTGGCAGGGAGGCAGCAGGACTGCGGTCCAGAAAACAAGGCTGTTTCTTATCCACGACCACTTGCTAATGAATGTGAGAGGAGGAAAACACACACTTATTCCCTTGCTGTTAAGGTCTCCTGCCCACTTCCTCCCTTTTCCCTATCAACTCCAGCTCTTCTCACTTCTGCCTTTGGATGTTGGGAGCTTTAAAAAGACAATCAGTAGGTGGGTGGACTGCCTTTCCGTGGGTCTATAGCTGTGGCTATTTCTTACTCTGCACTGCAGAGTTTCTATTCAGTGTGAAGGGTTGGGAGGCGGGGTGTTGGGGCCTCCGAGTTGGGGAAGAACCTGAATTCTAATTTCTCTCTTTGTCCCGAAATCAAGGTTTTGTTTCCCATACACTTTTAACACACAATTTCTCTCTTCACCCCTACCTCCTTTCACACAGATCCAGCTGGCATTATCATAACAGTGGCTGAACTTTCCGGGTCAATGAACTCAGGAGTAAGGAACCCGAAAAAGAATTGAAAATGTTCATGGGTACTCAGAGAGAGGAGGGCACAATGGAAATGACCAAACACTGGTGATAGATTTTTCTTTTTTATTTGGGGCACAGAGGTTCATGAATTTAGGTTAAAATTGGGCCCTGGAACACTATTGACTAGGATGAAACTGATTGATAATGTAGATTTCAAAATTTGTTCTAGGTAGATACAGATAGGGAAGGGTCTTACGATTTTGGTAGAGAGAACACCCGGGTGAGGAGACTTTGTTAATGCATGTCCCATCCTCCCTACAACTTGGAAAGTCTCAGAGAGTTGCCTAGATTATTGAGAATTAAGTGATTTGACCAAGGTCACAAAGCCAATAAGTGAAAGAAGCTGTTCTTAAGCCCAGATCGTCCTGGTTTGGGGGGTGGCTACCTGTCCATTATTCCATGCTGCCTTTCCAACATAGAATAGTGCTTGTTTTCAGATCAAGTTGCGAGTGATATTGGCTGCCTTTAGTACTAATGAGACACACAACAGACGGGAAATGCCCAGGCCCAGACCAGAAATCCTTCTGAGAGAACTCTAAGACCAAGAAGGAGCTTTCTCCAACTTTGGAAGAAGAGGAAATTGGGGATGCTTGGAGAGGCTTCCATCAAGTGCAAGGGGGTGGGGATGGGGGACTTGATTTCTCCAAGGGAAATAAATTCAATGCAAAGAATACTGTACTATCCATAACCTCAATAGCCTGAAGTTCTGAAGGGCAGAATGAGCAGAATGTTGTGTGCAGTGACAGCAATATTGTTTGAAGAACAAATTTGGGTGACTATTATAAGTAACAAATAAATTATATAAATTTATAAATTATAAATAAACAAATAAATCACAAAAGTTATTCTGACTACTATAAATACCCAAGTTAGCTGTAGAGGACTTATGGGGAAGGACACTGCCTGGATCCAGAGAGTGAGCTGATAGAAATATGTACAGAATAATTTTACATATACCTATGCATATACATACACACATATGCATACACATTATACACACGTATACACACACACACACACACACACACACACATACGCCTATTTGTATCTCATGGTGGTCAGCTCTAGGGTGGGGTAGGAGTAGGGGAGAAAAAAAGGAATTCACATAATTTTGTTGTATATTTGAAAGGAATAACAAGTTGTGCATAGTAGATTTGCAGTTTCACGTATAATCATCTTTTTTTTTTGTATTATGCTATGGAAATGCTTGTTTTATTCCATAAATATGTATTAATGTAATTTTAAAAAGGTGTAGGGGAATTAGCCTGGAATTCCAGATCGGGGAAGGAGCCTGAGCAAAAGAAAAAGACCTCTGCAGTGATGAGGTAAAACATTTCTTGAGGTTTTACCTCCATGGTAATATGGGCCATATGGGATAAACTAACCTGGGTAAAGGTGTCCAGGGCCTCTGTCATTACTGGAAAGTGTCAGATGCCTGAACTGCTGGCCAAAGGCTTGATGGGAGTTATGACCTGAGCCCAGGGTTAAATCTTGCTTCTTAACTCTGGAAAAACTTAGATTTTGTAGAAGCCTTAAACCAATCATCATCGTCGTCGTCATCATCATCATCATCACCATTTATATAGTCTTAAGTTTTTTAAAGGATTTACATGTTGTCTCACTAGTCAGATGAATAAATACCCTGCCCACTATCTTGACACCTGCACTATTAATTTAATATCAACGCTATTCATCAGAGCCAGAGTCATCATCCTCCCTCCACTCCCAACAGAATAAACTGAAGAAAAAACGCCAACAATAACAACAGTCCAGTGAGTGTTCATCTGACTTTCCATTCGGCTTGCTGGAGCACTGGATCTTTCTGTCAATGTGAAAAGTAACATTAGGTCGTGATATGAATATCAAACACTGAATGTGACTGCATCGACAATCAATGGACTTTGCTACTAATATTTGTGCCCCATTGGACTGACCCCAAGTAGCCTTAATAGATATCAAACTGAACCTCCAAGGACCTAGGATAGACCTAGGTGGAAATGGATATCTGAGCTGAGGTCAGGCCACAGAGATATCCATACTGATGAGAGAACAGCTGTTCCATAACCAGAGAGGACCTACACACCAGAGTTCTTGGCATTTACCCTGCAAGACTGCCTCTTGACTCTTCCCTCCACAAGACCAGTTGGCCTTGCAGACTGTCCCTGGACCCGAGATCACAGTTCTTCCCTACTCCCATATGGGGGGTGAGAGTCTAACCATAAGCTGGGGCCTGGCTGGCTAGAGAAAGTGAGTAAATCAAGTGCCCTATAACCAGTATCCTTGGACCCCTTACTAACAGGCTTCCTAATAAGTCAGTCAGCCCAGGTCCAGAATTTCCATTCCTACCCTTTCCTCCAATGCAATCAAATCAACATTGCAGCTAGGGCCAGGGACATAGCTCCCCAGGCTGCTGAGAAAGAGGAAGAGCAATCCTTTGCTGGCAAATTCTCTTGAAAGTTGCCTATGATCCTCCACTGACTTTGTCCTCTACAAGTTTATGTTATCTAATTTCAAATGGGGCACAGTGGATAGAGCACTAAGCCTGGAGTTGGGAAGACCCGAATTCAAATCTAGCCTCAGACACTTACTAGATGTGTGACACTGAGCAAGTCTTTTAACTCTGTTTGCCTTAGTTCCTCATCTGTAAAAATGAGCTGGAGAAGTAAATGACAAACCACTCCAGTATCCTTGCTACAAACAAAAACAAAAACAAAACCCAAACCTAAATGGAGTCAGGAGGAGTCAGACACAACAAATGGGCCCTCATTACCGCGGCCAGTTCAATTCTTCCCTGCTTCATTCTAGATTGCTCTTTCACTAGCATCTAGTTGAAATTTTCTTTTCTCTCCCGAAACCAACTCATCCCAATTCTCTTTAATTATATATGCCAGGTACTCTATTATTCCCATTTTGCAGATGAAGTAACTAAAGCAAACAGAGGTTAAATGACTTGCCTTTGGTCACATGCCTAGTAAGTATCTGACGCTAGATTTGAACTCAGATCTTCCTGATGAACCACCTACTTGGAAATGGAAGGTAATTTCAGAGGGAAGGCACAAATAGCCAGGAATAACAGAAAAAACTTCATGCAGAAGGTGGGTTTTGGGAAAAGTATGGAAGGCAGAGGTGAAGAGGGAGAATGTTTCAGACATGTGGGATAGCCAACGAAAAAGAAGAGCTTTGGGAGATGAAATGTTCTGTTTGAGGACTAGGAAAAAGGCCTGTATCTCCTAGTCACAGAGTATGTGGAAGGGAGGAAAGAGTAGAAAAACTGAGCATGTCAGAAAGGTCCAGGTTGTGAAAATCTTTAGAAGCCAAACAAATGTTATTATTTCATTCTGGAAGCAATAGGGACACCCAGGAGTTTATTGAGAGGGATTGGAGTAGAGTGCTATTGTCAGACTTCATTATCAGATTCAAATAAGATAATATTTGTAAAGCACGCAGCACAATGCCTGGCTCATAATTGACACTATGTAAGTGCTAACTACTGTTGTTGTTACTATTAGACCTGTGCTTTAGGAAAAATTATTTTGATAGCTGACTAGAGGATGAATGGGAGTGCAAAACATATGTCCATATTATCCATGTTCCAAAAGAAAACACAAACAAAACAATATAAAGTAAGAAAAGAGTTTGCTTCAATTTGCATTCAGAGTTCATCAGTTGTCTCTCTCTCTCTCTCTCCCTCTCCCCTCTCTGTCTCTCTATCTCTGTCTCTCTATCTCTGTCTCTCTGTTTCTGTCTCTTTCTGTCTCTGTCTGTCTGTCTCTGTCTGTCTGTCTCTTTCTCTGTCTCTGTCTCTCTGTCTCTCTGTCTCTCTCTGTCTCTCTCTCTCTCTCTCTCTCTCTCTCTCTCTCTCTCTCTCTCTCTCTCTCTCTCTCTTTCTCTCTCTTACCCTTCTCTCTCTACTCTATCCCTTGGTGATCTCATTAACTCTTCTCTAGTGATCACTCTCAAATCTGTCTAGATCTCATCTTTCTTTTGTTTAGTTCTGTCTCACCAATTGCCTACCAGGATGTTCCAAAGGTATGTCAGACTCAGCATATCCAACATACAATTCATTATCTCCTTTCAAAACTAACCCTTCTTACTAACTTTGACATGTCTGTCAAGGGCACCACCATCTTTTTAGACAACAAGGCTCAGAAACGCAGAAACATTCTGAACTCTCAACTTTCCCTTACACCCCTGTCCCCAGTGTCCCAATCAGTTGCCACATTCTATAGATACCTCCTTCACAATATTTCTCCCATCCATCTCTTTTCCAACTACATTATTGCCAATTTAGTTCAGGCCTTTGACATTTCTTTCTGGGCTACTCTAATTACCTCCTAATTGATCTCCTTGCCTCCAGACTCTCTGCTTCTAATCCGCATGGCCATCAAATTGACATTTCCAAAGTCCAGGTCTGATCATATCACTCCTTTGCTC